GCAACGCAAAGAGAAGGAATAAAAAACATAAATACAAAAAGTAAATAGATATATAAAAGTATAGAAAATAATAGCAAAAAATGAATAGAAATACAAAGATCTAAGAAAGTGAACGAAAAAGGTACAAAAAAATTCAAAAAGCTAAACAAGGCGGATAAAAAGAATTCTAAAGTAAATAAGTTACAACGATCGTCGAGGAACTAAAGATCTTTAAGATATTCGTCGAACATACGTGAAACGTATCCAAAATGTTTCAAAGCGATAAAATTGTCCTAAAATTTCAAAGAAATTCCACGTTGTTCACCCAGTTTACTCAACCTACAAAAACCATCCAAAATTATTGGTGATCCGATTAGCCCGGTTAGCGAAATAATTGGCCGGGAAACAACAGATCCATTATGTATCCGTACAGAAACATCGGCAAGCATTGTGCAGTAATTATCCCGAATTACGTAGCGTATTTAGTTTCCGTCGATCCACGTCGCCGTCAGAAATTACTCGACGCGGCAGTTGTCGTGCTGAACACACGTGTTATTTGATCCAATGATGTCCGTGGGCTGGGCTAGCGTAATCATCGTGAGAGCCGCTATTGTGCCGGATAGCTGGCTGATACATTGCAAAGATTATTGCCCTTGGCACACATTCGTATCTCGTTCTACAAATTCGACTTGCCTATATATATTCTCGTTCAACTCACTTCTACATAACCACCGAACTTTATTCAACTAGATATGAAATGAACAAACATTGCAAAATGTATAACAGTGAAACTGTGTTTTGGATTGACTAAATAATTGCTAGTAGTATAGGTAATTGCTGTTTTTCCATACCAATTAGATTCCTCTTTCAAGAAAGTTACAATATAATTTAACCTGAAATTTATTCCTTCTTATTGGGTTGAGACGTGAGTAATTGCCATTATTCATATTGCAAATTCTCTTTCTCGAGACTCAAGTTACAAAATCACATCATCTTACATGTATTTTTCGTTATTGTAGTCGCTGTTCGAAACATTTCCGGATTACTGCGAACGATTTTATTATATTATTGGGTTGGCAACTAAGTGATTACGGATTTTGTCAATACCACCTAATGACAATCAATCAATTAATTGCCAAGCCAATATAACTTTAGAATGATAGAATAGCTTGGCTTATCAGTTGCGAATAAGAAAATCCGCAATCACTTAGTTGCCAAAGCAATATATCATATGAGCTATATAAGTAAAGAGAAGTGAAAGAGTCCTAAAAACGTAATTTTGAAGATTTCATGAGAGTCATTAACCCTTTCGCTTCGGCAGTCCAGTCCGCCGAAGTACTGTCACTGAATGGAAGCGCGCGCCAGAAATGCGTACAGGTCATTTCGTGGATGTCGCCTATAAGGGCCGCTTGTACCCACAGGTCGTCTCGCGGGCGCCGCCTATAAGCGGCATCCGAAGCGAAAGGGTTAAAAGAGATACAGACACAAACGATAGATACAAAAATCAAAGTGCCATGGGAAATGGTAATATCGTGTCTTTATAATGCACAAAAACTTCATGAATCTTCACGAGATCGATAGAACGAAGCGTTGCGTGGTGCACAAAGGTCTCCATATTCCTGGAGTGTTCATACTTAACTCAAAAGCGGATCCTTCACATCATTATCGAGGAACGCGATCACGCGCGTTTCAGGGAAAAGGAAAAAACGAAGAGATTGCGTGGCACGATAAATCTACTCGCGTGTCTGTCAGCTATAGATGCTAGTCCGATTCTCCCTAAACTGGCCCATTGTCAGCGCCTCGATAATTTCTCCTACTCGTACAGTCTGTAGCAGTTTCCCTTTTCTTCGCTCTTCTTACTCGCTCTACAAAAGAAAGGAATATCTCCTTACTCGTACGTCTTTGACTTCAAGTCCGATTACGTTTCGTGAAAGAGGCTGCTCTACGATTTTCTGATCACTTCGGGGATTCGAAGGAGTCTCCGAGTGCTTTGACCTCTAATACCCTTTCATCGACTTCGCGGATCTTGTGTAGTTAGTTTCAAGCCTGGTTTCCAACGTGGACATAATTTCCCCGTTATCTTTTCGTTTTAAATCTTTATACATACATTTTCCTCATATTTCGTTTTAGTCGGTAGAGCTACTAATTTTCTAGAATTAACGGAGAATTCGAAGTTCTGTCTTGATTCAGATGAAATATTCTAATTTACCTCTGGAAGATGTTTGCGTACATTTGCAGGCAAAGGTGGATTTTCTGGTAGGATTCTCACTTTTGCATATCTTGCACGCGATGCAAATATGCCACAACGAAATACTGCAAACATTATTAGCTCAAGGAAACTGACACATAAAGCCTTGTTTTTCAACTTCTAGTAACTAGGATCTTATCAGTCTAGAATGTCTTGTTTTTCGTGGAATCATAAATGAAGGAAAATTTTAAACCAGTCAACATCTTTTCCCACACATTCTCCTTCCGGTAGTTTAGTTTTCCTTGTCAGAATTTTCAAATAAATGAGAAGAGTTTGCAAATCTTAAACTCGAAACAGTAAAATTCTTATCTTTTAAGTAGTAATTTTCAAACATTGTAAAAACACAATTTTACATAAAAAATAAAGTTCTGTTTTATCGAGGCTATTAGCGTTTTAAATGAACATTTCCCTGTTTCTTCGCTCTGTCCGTAAGAAGGTAATTTGATTGTTTGAATTACCATTTAAGGACATCCTGGTCATTCTTACCATATAGGAAAGTCCGTTCACTTTTCCTCACTCGAGGATGCAATACGTTTTGCGTTTTAAGTCTGTGCATAAATAAAATTTACGCGTTTAAATAAAGCTTGTATAACACGTTAAACATGTTGGTCCAATGTATTCGTCACCTATGTGCGTAAGAAGTGTGCAAAACTGATCATAATGCTCTAATTGAAATATTTGTCATGTTTATCGCTAACTACGACGACATTCAGCTATTTATAATATTATAGTAGCTAAGGAGAGTTGATGTGTTTGTTTATTTCGAACATTATTTATCAACGATGTTATGATATCAGATATATACTTGACATTTTAATTGATTGATATTTTTCAATATCTTATTTTTGTAAAATTCCAACAATTAATTAATATAAATCGATTATAGTAGATATATAGTTATCGAGAAATCGTATTTGATATTCTATATCAATTCAACACGAACTGGTTTCTATTGTTACTTGCCTCTGTCGTATTATGAATGGAAGAGGCGCGCACTAAAATTGATTAGTAATTACGTATTACAGGTGTGTTCAGCTATGCAACGCGTTTAGTATGAAAGAAAAAGCGTTATTAGACACGTTGCGATTATAAATTAATTTCGAAAGTGCCACAATTTCTGTACCACCGAGCTTTTGTCGCAATTAATTCGAACAGCTAAGATGTACAATTATCGCGCGTTACTTGCACGACTGAAACAGTTACGGGGAACATGCATGGCATTTGCATAATTTCACGATTCACCGTGCATTTAAAGAATATTGCATTACGTTTGAACCTAAGAATACCCACAGGGACCGGTTTCTTCTGACACAGAATGAGTTACAAGTGGTATTTGTTGTGTTTACGACAATGTGATTTACATCATCGGTTTAATTCGTTAATGTCGTTATAATAAACAATTCCGTTAATTTCAAATGATTCTACGAGTTATTAGTTCAATCGTGGGTGGTTCAACCTCCACTTTTTAATTTAATCCTTCGGTTGTAAATCGATCGATGAGTAATTCGGTTTAAAAAAATTCCCGCAACAGACTATTTTTTCGCACGTTGTCCCGGTCAGAATTGTTATTAAACACACGCACCGAATACGACAATGTCTAATACGTTGAATTCCCTGTTTTAAAGTAGTAGATAATATGTGTCATTTCTACTCTGATATCAGCCCACGTGAGAGAAGGAAACATGTTCTGAACTGGCATAATAGTGAAGAAGTTGCAATATTTTGGGACAGTCAGCGATCAGGCGTTGACGAACCAATCGAATTTTGTCTAATAAGCAGTCTCTTAAAGCCCTATTTTCTTCGTGAAAACTTTAGCATTTCCAAATGATCGTGGTCACAACTTTCCAGATTTACAGTTATATACTTCTAAAAAATACTACTACTAAAATACTACTAAAAATACTACTAAAAATACTACTAAAAAATTACATGGTTCTTCGTAAAAGCGTCATCAACATGGTCTCATTGTAGCGCTAATAAAATTTCAGAAAGTTCCCTTCAACGCACATAATATATTTATATACAAAGTGTCTCGCAGTTTAGTGTACAAATATTTTGCCAACGTGTTCCGTGCCTAAAAATAAGATGAAAATATAATGTAGCGGAAAGTCTATAAATGCTTCGTTAGAAAGTTATAGCGAAAACATGAAATGCGTCAGACATATATGTCAATACTCTTTCTTTTAGTTTGATACAAAATTAGACAAGATGATGTTCGTGATACATGTTGATATAAGCACTCACATATGTTTACGGTTTTTATGCATAGTTCTATCATGTTGGTATGTGAAGAAATTAGACGAAATCGTCACGGATTTTGACCTACAATAAATTCAATAACACATCGACATCAAGTCAGACACAAGTTTCATATTTCGTTAGAACTTCTTAATAGAAATTAATCAAAATTTTCGTTTCATTTTTACCTACGCAATACACTGGCAAAGTTTGTACACTAAACAGCGGGACATCTTGTATATTCCACATAATACATTCTATAATAAATCTTTGAATATTTTCGTGAGCCAGTGTACGCAATCCTTTCATTGCGTTAATTGCGAAATGATACGAAACCTACTAATAATACGAAATTTCATGAAAACGATATGAAATTCGTATGGACACGCGATGAAATGTTTCGGTTGGATCGATCAGCACGATCGAGATCCCATGACCTTCCTCCCCGCGATAGTCTGCAAGTACTACAGCCTATTTGCGTCAGTTCAGTCCCTATAGATTGTGCATCGATACCAGTCTATTCTCAGCTTGGTACGAGCACGACACAGCATGTCGCGCGCTCACTGCCAATCAAGTGCCGCTCGGTTGGCCACAAAGGTGCTCTTCTATCGTTGTGTGAAGCGGATAGTTCATGATGGCTCCGGTGTGTTGGTATAATTGAAGTGACGGAAGCCCGGCAAGGTGTGGTGGCCACGTTCTTGCACGATGTAAACAGCTCGACCAGGTCGAGCTCCAGTGCACCGGATACCGTTGACGAAGACGGCCGTACGTGGTTTTGCCACTCGACATTCTTCCACGAGTTACGCTAGTTAATGGCGCGACGCCTCTTCTCGATGTCGTAGTCAATGGATCGTTCGCTATTGCTCATCGACTTCGTCATTCTTCAGACTCTTCATATTCTTCTATCTTCATTTTCCTATATTTTTCGCTGTCACATATGTTTAGGTGTTTTTGATAAGTTTTGTTGAATCTCTTTAATTGAATTATTTATCGAAGATTACTTTTACGCGAAGCTTTTATTAGTGGCCATATGAAAGATTGGTGACAACACAGTGATACGAAAAAGTGAACGTAAACGCTAAAGGACAGATAAGACAAAGAGCGACGCTCAACGACTGTCTCCGTCTAAAAGATGTAGCGTCGTTTCGTCGAAAACGTAGAATAATCAACGTGGAGTGATTAAATCGAGAGACTGCTAAGTACATTAAATTGACGTAACAACGCGAAGCATCGGTCTCTGAGGTGTGATTACACTTGCGGTAACAATTTGCGATATCAGACTGCGTTAGTTGAATACATTGGATTAGCTGTACTCCGTGAATCGATGGAAGATGTATCGTTACGCGATACGGTTCAAGTGCATCGTCGAGGAAAACAAACAGGGAAATCATATCTGCTACCAATAAGAGAAAAGTTCTAATCTTTCAATTTCTCCTAGCTTATATAGTGTAAGGTAACATTCATAGCGTAATAGACTTACAGTGTGAAAGTAGACACGCACGGAGATCGTAATGTGGTTGTTGGTTGATTAATTACTAATCGCGTTCTAAATTGAGTTCGTACGAGCTATCGTTGATTAAAGAAGCTTGTTTAAATACTGTTCCTACCCTCGTATCGCGGTAACGAATGTGTTTTTCACGTGTGGACTGCTCATTAACCAGTTCACGAAGTCTGCAACTCAGAGACAACACAGGCGATACACTGATCAACTGGTCACCTCTGCGGTACAACTAGATTGATTGCACCGAAACTCTGGTTCCAGGCCATTTCAGCTGACCATCGAACGTCTGGCGATTAAAAGTGCTCACGTGTAAAACCGCGTGGTTTGTCACGAGACGACGATCGAACGCGAGGAAACAAAGGACAGGAGGTCGTTTACTGGCGCAGCGACTCGTGAAAAAGATTTCTCTTTGTCCTATGAGTCAGGCGAATCGTAGAATCTGAAGAGGCGTCTCGATGTTGCTCTCGAACCTGGGCTGGATGAAAGAGTATGTTCATCGATCGACTCGGAGACCTTCGATAAAATCTTCTTCCGCGAGACGTCCTTACCTCTCTCTTGGCCTTATCGCTTGAAACGCAGCTCTAGAGATAGTCCAGGTCGACCTGTCGTCGGCTCGTGAGTACACGACGCGCAATAAAATCGCTGCATGCAAATCCACGCCGCTGCTAGTCTTCGTGGGATCGTTTCGTGAATATTCAACAGGACTCGGTGAAACGGGCCATTGATTGAACAAAGAACTTCCGTGTGGAAAGTGACGAACGGTATCGCGACGATGAGGAACGACTTAACGGGGAACCTTTCGGCCCGGCCTTATTATTTCGCATGACGCCGCATACAGTTCGATCGCGTCATCATGAACCTTGTTTTCGCCAGCCTGTCCCAGTACCGGTGAATACCGGTGAATTGTTTCGGGATACTCGTTGATCTACTGTCGCTACTGTGGAACATCGCCGGTGCTTGATGAGATGAGCTTGTTGCGATTCGGGCCTTTTAAAGATGGTATGTCATTTTTTATCAAGTTTTTCATCAGATATTGTTAGTAAGATTTTATTCCTTGATTATGAAATTGAAATTAATGAGATTTCAATCGAATTGCTCGTTCTTGTCTCGTACGATATTCTGTAGAAAATGAAGCAAACGAAATTTTAAAAGTTTCTTAAATGTGAAGAACATACTAGTGTGACTAGAGAGAATAATCTGTTGTCATTAAGTAATATACTTTCTTTTAATTGCGTTATTTATATATACTGCATAGATTTTTATAAAAATAGATTTGCCATTTTCTATCTTTCTTGTATTGCACGTGTTATTCTGACAATTCTTGCTTATTTTATGAACAATATTTCACATTTATTTCTTTATATACGATACGATCTCTTCCAAACAATTTATTGGCAAATGATTGTCCACGCATTGTACGAGAAGCGCTACCACAAAAGAACGTATCGTTTTACATAATATCATACAGCGTCGTCGATTTCGTGCTTTCGATACCGGCAGCTTCGATATAAAGCAGAATAACAACCGAGGATTCGATTATTTTACATTGCATTGTCAGAAACGCCGATTTGTCAACCGGATCGGGGATACTGACAATCTGTTTTTTTTAATTTGCGACAGGATGAAAAAAGGAAGTTCTACCTTTCGGAACAATTCCATTTCCTGCATTCCATTAACGACGGCGGGACGTTGCGATCTGATTGTTAAAAAATATCCAAAATGTTTTGTGCCCGCCGACCGTGTAAATCCATTAATCTGATTGCATTGATCGCTGCGACCACTTGCAACATAGAGATACGCGTGTCGCAAATTAATTCATCGAACGAATGAATTTATCAAATCTTTCCGCTAACTGCCAGCAATCGATCGTGATTATTTATACAAAATGCGTCGTGTTGTGACGGAATTAAAAATTATATTTTATGCGGTATGAGTGAAATATTATACCTACATCTCGATGTGTTATTTTATATCATGTTATTGTCACTTTACCTTAATATCAACAACGATCATTATTAATATTTTAATTTATTTACTTGTAATTTATTTATTTCATCACGGTTCTTTATCTTATCTTTTTAAAATATTTATATTAATATTTCAAGTTTAGCTACACACGTAAACGTTATACATAGTTGGAAAGGAATTCCTATGAAAATAATGTTTACCCGTTATTAAATTATTATTCGACACATGGCTCCTTGTAAGCATATTTACAGTATTAATGTTATGCTCGGCGCTTATTATAGGCACTTATAAATACAGGCAAGGATATACATAACACCATTGATCGGTGTAACGACGTTTCATCGTTACCTATTTCTTCATACGTAGGTACGTCGAATAAATGGGAGATGGGATAATCGAGAAACCATAAAATGGAATCCCCGTTGATAGAGGCAGCTCCGCTGTACATCGAGCTTGCCAACGCAAAAATACGTGATGTGCATAAAGGATCAAATAAAACGGAAAGCTGGTTATCGCTGGAAATGTATATAAATGTACGGAAATGTATAATGCAGTATCGCATTCCGGAATTTCTGATGCGAATGTCCATTACGTTGTTATCTCAAGGATCATCTTGATTACGATATAAAAATGAAACGATCCGATTCTAGTTTACTGATTTACTAAATAATGTCCTTGCCATCAGTTAAAAGCTGATATCTTTTAGATCTTAAAAAAGATGGAATCTCATTTAGTTTCTGTAGGTATCGATTGGAAGACAATGTTGCAATTGTCCTTTATCCTTTTATCCTTAGAACAGAAAGATCGATTGGATCATTTTAATCCATTGACGAGTCGATCGAAGGTATTATTCTTGTTAAAGAATTTAATTATTGAACAATTTTTTAACATCGGTTGATTCGAATTATTCCAAATATACTTAGGATCCATTTATTTTCATATTTCAAACGAAACAATTTATTAGAGAATATGCGATGAATATAGAGATATAATAAAAATAATGATGAAGAAAGGATTATATCTAAGAGATTGAGAATTATATCATTTTCCTCGGTTAATACATTAAAGATTTCATTTAAAGATTCGCCTAAACTTATGAACCAGAAGTATCTATATTTTAACCAATTTTATTTTGCTCCTATAATATTAATTTTCCTTTTAAGTTTTTCATATTTCCTGAAATCTACAATAACTCAAAGCTTTGATCAATAAATACAAATAACTGGAAGCGTTGATTGACAAATAAGAAACCACGTAAACCACGTTGTACCACGTATGTACGATGCATAGGAATTGAGAAGAGACACTTTATTCGAACGAGAAGTATTCTATTCTGCATTGACTTGGCGGCGACCCACGCGAAGCATTTAGGTCATCGATTGAATCATGACCGAGGAATAATGCTTTCTATAACCTTCAAAAATTCGAACAAGACGACTCGTCGGGAGGAGTCGCCGCCCTTATGCATCCTACGTAATTATCATTCCCAACTATTCACGGCTGTAAAAAAGATCTCGCAACTTTTAATACATCATGAAACTTTTCAATAAAACCACTCCCTCGAAACTTTCTATCTATCTCTATATATCTCTTATCTTGATTTCTTTTGTCCTTTTCTTTCAAACTTTTTAATTTTCACTTCTGGTATACGATATCCTGTTGCTATAAACTAGCATAAAAGTAGCTGCAACTATCTTATTTATCGCACAACGGAAACGATATTTTTCGAATTTTAACAAGTATCAATAACTTAATATTAACGTACAGTAACACAATTTCAAATCTATACTTATGCATTCATAAATTCCAATGTTATTTATACTGAAATTACTGTACAGCCAATATAATCATTTCTTATATTTCTTTCAACAATTTCATACATGTCGGTAATCGAATTTTTCGTTTTTACCATGGTTCATACTTGTCGAAAAATCTCGGAAAGCTTGCGGAAGCTTAGATTGGTGTCCCAAACATTTCAAAGCATTACATCGAATTCCTATTTTGGTGGCGGAAACCGCGAACCAGGCACAATTTTCCACGGCATCGGGCTCGGGGACTGGCTGCTATTTGGTGCACGAAAGCGGACTTCCTCTAGGAACACGGCTTGCAATGCCCGGCCTACTTTATATTTACCTCGACGCGAAAGGCGCCGGAAGAGCCACTTTAAAGGACAAACATTTTCAGGTTTCCGCGGCGTTTTTAGCCGCGCTACGCGATGGCAAGAAAATCACCACAGCGTCTCCGTTCGACGTAGCTGTAATTTGTGACAGATATAGAAATATCATAGACTAATCCAATTCTCAGATTTTTAGACCATTTTTGTTTTAATCTCGTTTTAATCCCAAGGAAAAGAATTTACATGTTTCAACCTTTTTTTTTTTTTGTTTGTTAGAAATTAACTTTCGTTGAACGAACACGAATAATATAGCCGAAGAAAATGTCCGAAGAGTCAAAATAAAATTCGTCATTGTTAATTTCTGTTTAATTTCAAACGGTGTACTTCTCTGAGTAACTTAAACTTCTCTCGTTTTTTACCATTTTGGTCAGTTTATTATTAAATATTTTAAGCCTTTGTAATCCAAATTTTTTTGCCAGTATAACAGAATTTAGGCAAACTGAAACCAGCGAATATCAACCTTCAGATGAATCTACAATTTTCGAAAATTTTATTTAAAAGGAAGAGGTTTGTAACTTTGGAATCAAAATGGGGTACAATATCTGTGTAAAAATAAAATTAGATTATAAAAAAATGAAAATCGATGGCTAATAATAGACAATAGTAGATCCCAAAGCATTGAACAAAATTTTAATAGAAAATTAAAACGAGAAATCACTTGTCAACGATTCTTTTTATTTGCTTCAAACTGAAGAAAATTCTTGTTTCTTCAGAAATAAAAACGTGATCGGGTGGTAAATTGCTCAAGGTATATAAGAGAATGAAGACAGTTAACGACGATAGCCATTGATATAGCTGTACCTGGAACTGTACAGACATCTCTGTTGAATCAAGCAATTACATTTATACGTTGAATAAAGTAATTACGGAGTATAAGGAGCTAAGCGTTCCTTTCGAGCGCACAAGGTGAACTAATTACCTTCGCATCGTGCTGGCACCTTTTTCGATATTTCAATTCAAGCGTAGTTGAACGCAATTTTGATTACGAATAATTCGTGAAATATTGAGTACTAGACACTTTGATGGAATTTTTGTAAACAGTCTATAACGAAATTTATCAGTGTGTAAAGTTTGTATTAAATCGACGACCTAAGGTTCCTACGTTCTTCTTGTTGGCTGTGGAAGCGTTTCATTAAAACTTTACTGTTTACAATGTTTCATTAAAACTTTACGCTATTAAATCTCTGTCGACTCTGGTTCAATAACAATCGCAAAAGTATCAGCAAAAATTAATCCTCTATGTCATGCGATAAAAGTTGCATACACCGTGACATATCCTCTCTATTTATTCTTTTTCAATTTTATTTGATTTTAACATTCAGTAACAATTTAGAAATTACGTATTCTATGTTTACTTTTCTTTAATCAAGTATAATATCCTTACCCTTTAATTACTTACACTATTTAATAGCATACATCATACAAATAATTATACACGCTTCTAATACGTATTTGTCACTATCGATATAAATCATTCGTTCATATGATAATCAGACTGAGGGATTTTATGAAAATTCATATGTTTGAGAATATAATTAAAAAAGTGGAACATCCGTTTCACCTAGCAAAGTAATATCAACAAACACGACATATGTTTGAAGTATTTTATACATTCTTTCCTATTATTTGCTATGAAAATGCATAAAAATCCGCATTATAATGATTGCTACTGCTTGCTCGGTTTTTTAGATGAAAGGAAAAGATTCTAAATTTGCGCTCTCATAAGCGAACGAAATTGCAGTTATATAGTATAATCTGCACTTGCTCAAGCTTCGAATTGTATCAACTTTAGTTCCTAACATCTAACTGGTTTTACCTTCTTATTACGTTTCTTTCGCCGACTATACATTTCTCTCAACCTAAGGGTGTGCGATGGAGAAACCTGAAGGTGAGAAGCACTTCGGCGATGAATACGCAGGCCGAACCCGACATCGTGAAAAGGAAAATGAGAGGGATGAGATAGAAACGATCTTCCTCGTAGAGGGTGACTACGGTTACATAACAATGAGACGTCGCGGCGTCGTAGACGCTCCGAAACACTCACCCTTCTTCTTTCTTTTCCCCTCCGCATCTGTTTCTTCAGCAAGCTGCTGAAAATGTATGTATATTGTCGATCAAACCGGAAGACTTTCCAGCTTCTATCGGATGGGTGAACATTTGAGTGCTTATTCGTAATGTTAGTTACGTGAGGGTAAATTTCACAGAAATTGTCTCGGACATTTTGGGGTAGATATTTTGAATTTGTAAAAGTGGGTCAAAGTCTCAACGAGTAGAATATTGCGCAAAGAAACTGTGCTTTTTTACTTGAGGAAGAATTGAGCTCATTGCAGGATATAATAGATATATTGCAAGAAAAAGTCCTGGACTATTTTTCACGAAATAAATCTTTCGATGTATTTGCATACGCGGCTGTTTTTTTTAATTTATTTCGAAGCAATTTGATTTATTCGGCTTTTACCAAATGTGGTAATAGAAACGAATGGATTTATAGACAAATATTTCGAGGGTTGCAAAATTCGTAACTTTAAGTAGATGTCGCAGTCTACATCGGTAAATGTAGCGTTTGTTTGACGTTGGTATTCGCATGTTTCACGATTTATTTCCATGTAATTTTTATAATAAATATTTATATTTTCCGAATATTTATGGAATAAGAATACGAACTACTGTCGAGCGGAAAAACACATAAATTATTATTCATTTTAAGTGTTTAATTTGTAACTAATAACTTAAATTAAATTGTCCTTTTGCGTATTTCGCGTCCAAGAACTTCCACTTTTCCAATACGTTCCCGTGACGAAAGGCCAGAGGATTCGCGTTCGTTTTTCTCGTATTCTTGCCATTCTCGCACGATCGTGAAAGTTTGATCGTGTAAGGCGCGTGTGTCGATCGCATATTGAACGAGGAATCGGAAGTAGCTTGTGGAAAAACGGCAAGGTGGTCTGGTAGGAAATGCGTGTTCATGGTGGTTGCGTCGGAGCTACTCGTACCAACGGTTGAAAAGTTGGAAAGTTTTACAGGAGGGAGACGAATCGATGGGATTTTCCATGCTTCGGCTTTTCTCCTGCTGCTGACTTGTTTATTCCGTTCGTGTAGGCACCAAAGTATCGATAATAGGGTCTCTGAGTCCTTCAACTGTCGCTTGTTACGTGAAAAATTATTTATTTCCAATGTGTGTCTGTTTTTTAGATTAAGAAGATATAAATAGTTTGTATGTATCAGAAACTACCTGATTTAGTTATTCGAAAAGAAATACGAGGAGAGAAATATATCATATACATCGATTTAGCAGGAAATCCAATTTAAAAAAAAATTCAGTTTCCATTATATAAGTAAATAAATCTGTGAAGTAAATTAGCATAGTAGGTATGTTTTAATAAGATATATAAAACGATATAAAGAAAAATATGTTGAATTCTTGAATCGATCGTATTATACTATTCTCAAGATTCAAATTAATACGTCAAAAACCACGAGCCTTAATTTGCCTTACTTTACGATCCTCGAGCCCTTTTAGTTTTGCAAACATTGTTTGATAATCGTATAAGATCGATCTTGCGCCTCGAAATATATTCTTAGCGGTATCGACATCGCCAACCAAGGCCGGAATCGTTTATCATTGACATTAGCTGTCAGCTACGGGGTTTACGCGCATAATCGAATGTCCTATAGAGCGGCGAGGTAATTACGATATTACATCGATCTTCTTTGGAAAGAAAATCAGGGCTCGGCTGTACGCTCTGCTTCTATATTAACGTTCGATCTCCATTTAGAATCTCTGTTGCACGGCTCTTTGATCGCGCATCCTTTCTCGTTACACCAGGTGCTGTTTTAAAATTTAAATTCGCCCGCCGTACTCGAGAAAGCACCTCGATACCGTAACGATCCCGCGAATCGAATTTTGTCCAGGAAATTAGCGAGAATCCAATTTTCTACGAAACCGTGAGAACGCATTCGAAAACTAACCGCGGAACTAATTTCGTGAACGAAGTTTCCACTTGTGGACGTAACGCATTCGATATCCGTGAAATACATGGTTGGTTCTTCGACCC